ATCTGGGTGTGGGGGGCTGAGGTGTGGGGCAGGAGGACTCATGGGACGTGAGACGGTGGGCTCTATAAGGGAAGTTACCGGGATGGGGGAGGGGAGTTTATGGGTGTGGTGCAGGCTTTACGGGGGCAATATCGGGGACTCCTAGGGGCCCTGCCAGCAGTGACACCACCATAGGACTCCAGATGAGACCGGTGTGGCCCCGGGTGGGACCATGGGAGGGGCCGTGCCACAGAAATAGCAGGGTGAAGTCGGGCCTGACAGTGTCTCTGTGTGCCGGAAGATGGTGCTCATCAGGGAACTGGGAGTCGGGTACTGGGGAGCACTGGGTGGGCAGAAGAGGGCAACCCCCGGACCCTACTCCCCGGTGGGAGTTTGAGGGCCACATAAAAAGGTCTGAAAGGCCGGCTGCCGGCCGGAGTTTGCCCACTGCTGATGTAGATTGATAATTGGGCTGAAATGCAGGACTTGGAGCAAAAGCTGCCATCTTTGGTACCTACTGTAGAGCTGGCACAGGTTGGCACTTCCTGGGCTCTTTTCTGGTCGTAATGGTTGTTCAGGGTCTTTCACTAAATTGCTTTTGAGTATTTGCATGTCTGGGGAGCCTGGGGTTTGGTTTTAGTTGCCTCTGCTCTTGGGGTGAGAGAACCTCCTATAAAAAGAGCGTTCTCAAAATCTCTCTCCCAATCTGCCTGCAGCACGGAGGCCTGCTTTGGAGACCTCCTGGAGCATGTGCAAATATGCGTGGGAATGGGCACCACCTAGAGATGCCCCAGACGCCGCACGATGGACAATATCATTACTCGCGCTGCTCTTTGAACTGCCACGACGGTCAAGGAATAGCTGGTTCTTCACCGTTGTAGGATGGATAGCAACCTGTTTGATTTCCATTCCTCCCACCCCTCTTACTTGGGTCCACATCTAAATTGGTGCCAAGCTCTGCTGACCCAGAGAATGCGAGGCAGAGCAACGGGTGGCATTACGGAAGGCGATTTAGGGATCTGGGGCCAATCTGTCAGGGATGGTAATTGGTCCTGCTGTGAGGGCAGGGGACTGGACTTGATGACCTCTAAAGGTCCCTTCCAGTTCTAGGAGATAGGAATATCTCCCTATATCATTATTACTACATGCTGACTTTTGCTGCTGGACGCAGGCCGCCAATGTTCTCTCTTCTGGTTTTGTTCCGTAGATTCTTCCCCGGAAGCCCAGCCCAAATACATCAAAGGCGGGAAACGCTATGGCAGGCGATCCCTTCCGGAGTTTCAGGAGTCCGGGGAAGAGTTTGCTGAGGTGACCGTGATCGAGCCGCGGAATGAAGAAGCGCGGACGTCACACATCGCCTCCAACGACTGCGATGAGGTAAGGGGCCTGCGTTGAGATCTACAGTCTGGAAATGGCCATCCACGGGACCTGTCGCCTTGATGGGATGTGGGAGGGGGGAAATGGAGGTTTGGGACATGACCCTGGCCTATTGCAACTCCTTTTTAAGGGTGCCCAGTTCCGTTGCTTACCCTTGTATGGCATTCGCTGCTCTTGTGCCAGAACTCAAAGTTTAAACTCCGGCGGGGGTTGAGCGTTCAAAGCATGCAGTGTCGTCTGATCGCGCATCGTGAGCAGCAGGCGTAGACGAATAACCTATGAGCCATGTAACCTATTCTGCACATCTGCAGAGAAGCCCAGGTCTTGCATGAGCTCCTGAGCCACCTGTCAGGGTCCAAACCAGGGCAGTCAGGTTTGAGGGTCAGAGGACCCGAGGCTGCGAGGAAGACAGGAGTTTTTAGTTGGGTTCCAGGCTCGATCCCATGGTCCAGTGTCTGCATCAGGTTTCGGGGTCTGAGTCAAGAGGCAAAGTCCAAGTCATACTGAGCGCAAGCCAGGAATTCAGGAGCAAGGAGCAGGAACCATCGTGGCAGCTAAAGAAGATCTGTGCCATCACCTGGATCTTTTCTGGACCCCCGTTTGGGTTTCTATAGGGCAGGCAGCCAATCGAGAGCCAGGAGGCTGCTGTCTGTCAAACCCCTGAGGTGGAACTTCCCATGCTTAAAGGAAGTGGAACATGAGCTGGTTACACTGGGAGGCAGCCTTGGAGATGTCAGCTGCTTGGCAGCTCTGGGCCTGTGCCCTAGACCCCAGGGGCATGCACAGACCTTGCAGTTCACTATCGAAAAAGAGTGCAGGTCTGGAACCTCCACCGTGTAGTATTGGTGTGACCTTCCTACTCCATTCGAGCATTGTACCTTTAACCCCCCACACTGCAGAATTAAATGGCAAACTGTGCAAGCCCCTGAAAGATAAGGCCCGTTCAGAAATATAATCACCATCACTAGGTCTTTGATATAAATGCTCTGCATCCACCGATCTCAGTGCTTTACAAAGGAGGTCACAAACAGATCCCTTTTCTACTTTTCAGGAAGAGAGATGGCTTCTCAAGCCGTCTCATTTGGACTTCAGTTGAGCAAAGACTGTGGAGTACCCAGGATAGCTGGGATCAAAGCTTTGTTTGACTCTCTAGCTTCCCACGGCCCAGTTCTTGCCAAACTTCCCTCCCTTGTATTCTGCGCACAGATGGGGAAGAATGCAGTGCAAGTCCACATTGTGCATAATAGTTGATCAAAGTGGGCAACAGGGCAGAGCTAATTTGGGTTGAATGTCCCATCTCCAGAGTCCTTGTCATAATTATACATTGTTTGGAAATAAGCGATTGTGTGCATAACATAATTTAGGCTTGGAAGGATTAGATTTTTACTGGTAAATGTCAGTGAATGCTGATTTCACTGTACACTCATAAACCTATCAGAAAATGTTTCCATAGATGATGATCAACACTAACAGGCAAAGTAAGAAAAATACAGCTTGAGACTATCATCAAAATCCATTGATTTAGACTGCTGAATTTGGCTTGTGACAGCAGGACTAGACAGAGAATAGCAACCACAGATTTGGTTTACAGATCTCTACTTTGTATATTTTCACGTGATGTTGACCGTTCGTGTTCAGATGGTTTTTTTAAACCTTTTAATGTTTCGAATCTAAGCATCTACGGTCACGATTTAATCGTCTGAAACCCTCCTACTTTCCTGCAGCTGTGAAAAGTTAACTCGATTAAAAATTTGAAGGGAAAAAAACGCTTTCAAAATAAGCATGGATATTATCTATGAGAATTATTTAAAAAGAAAAATCTGCCAGCCCTGAACCTGGTACGGAGCCTGAGGCTAAGGCTTGCAATGCAAGACTGTCACTTTGAGCTGGGGCCAAGCGGAAAGAACACCTCCGGCTGCAGAATGATTGCCTCCTGGATGCCCCACACTCAATGAGAGCAATAGTTTGTCCCAGGATAAAAAGCGTTTTTTGTAAATAAGATGCAGCTTCATTTAATCTCTTATTTATATGATCGGTTTGGTTTGCAACTCCCAAAGTAAACTGGGGAACTGTCCAGTCCTGCCCCTGAGGTGCTGTCGCTGGACCAGCCTTGTAGAGTCTACTCAAACCGCAAAAGAATACATAATTGTATCTGGTTGCTGTTGCATGTTAATAATGGTTCTACACATTAGATCATGCTGGCTAAATACCACAATCCCTCCCTCTGGCCTCTTTGTGCTTGTGAATAAAGTAAGGGCCAGTAATTAAGCTAGGGCTGTAACTCCAGCTTCACGTCTAACGAAGTGTGTTGTGAGCAGAAGAGACATCCTCTGCTGTCAATTCAGTTCATCCATGAAAACCCAGGAACAACTACATTACTAGCGAATCGAGAAGCTGTCGGATGCTGGAGGATTAGTCGGTGCATTATGGCACAGACGGAGGTTAAGGAAATCTGGCCGCTTTGCTCTGCTCCTTTGCAGTGGCATTTTACAGAACTGCCGTCACAGGAGACCGGCGAGTCTTTTTGCACACGGAAAACTTTGTTCTTTCATTATATGCATTTGTTAGATAATGCAGTAGGGATTTTCCTGGCATTTCCATCCCCTTATCTGCTCCGTTTGTGCTTGGTGATTTCCATGGCAGTGCCATAATCTCCGACACCAAACTGAGCAAAATGACATCTGCTTTGAGGATTGACGCTTCATAAATATTCCTGAGGTTTGGAAAGCTGCTTTCTCCTCCCAGCCCCAGCATCTCCAGTTGCCAGTCAGGGACTGTTTGGTTCCAGACACGTATGATTGTATCTAGCTTTATTTCTAATACATCTAGTCATGTGCTTACCTAAAGGTGGCAGCTCGTGCTAGGGACGTGATAGTGTAGTCGATTAACCGATAAGCAAAAGCATTTCCCCCTCCCCGGCCAGTAAATTTTTTAGCAGGCTGGCCAGCAGCCTATCTCAGTCCTGGCTTGCGACAGGTCTGGGACCTACCCCCGCTGCATTTAAGTGGTGACAGGCAGTCGGCCCAGGAGGAGAGCTCGGTCCGAGACATCCTCCCTCCCAGACCAGCTCCCCCCTGGCACTCCGTGCTGCTGCCTCTGATACAGAGGCAGCAGTGTGGAGTGGCAAGGGGCTCCTCGGGTGTGGGGCCGGAGCATACTGGCTGCCAGCCCTGCCCCTGGGGATTGTAGAATAGTTGAGTAACTGTTAAGAATTCATGAAGTTACTCGACTATTCAGTTAATCGAGATTGAACATCCCTAGCTCGTGCTTTGCTTGCGTTCAGCATCAGATTCCACCGTGATGCTGCGCTGGATGAAGCTTGCACATCTCACGGTGTGAGCATTCTGTGATGTGCGTTGGGAGACACTTCCCCCTTCCACCACTCCAAAGCCATGCAACGGGTAAGGGAGGAGAAGTGGTGAAACTTTGGTAGTGTATGTAAGAGATGGCCACAGCAGCATGTCTGATGCCAGGTCCCTTCCACTCTGCTGTGTGTTTGCCAAATACTGTCAATCCCATGTTAAATACTCAGCAGCACCCAGTGGAAACTGCTCAGTGAGGGAGAAGGAACGTTACTTTTTGTTTCTTTTCCCCCGGGTTTCCTTAAGCTGCCTCCATGGAGGGCTGTGGCCACCAAGGGACACCAGCTATGCAGCACTAGGGGGCGCTGCAGTGCAAGGCACAGGTACGCTGTGGATTCGATAGCTGTACGATCGGAGAGCGGGCGCAGACCATTCCAGAGGTGGGACGTGGAATTCTTTCCCCAGTGGAACATTGAAGTACAGAATTGCGGGTAGGAGCAGGCAGCTGTTGGTGCAGAATGTATCAACGCTACCGTGCAATGAAAACCCGGTCATCGGGAATGGAAATGGGCAGCCTTAAGACGTACTTCAATATACAACACCCCAGACAGAACTTTAAAAGACCCAGGCCCGTGGCTTGTGCACCTGCTTGCCAGTGGTTCCACGTTACTCTCCGTTCCTTTGCTTTCCAGGCTCGCTGTCCTTGCAGTCATCCAACTGCGGCTCAGGAATTGCTTGAATGCACTTGGAAGCAAGTTGGCTTCTCCAGTGACGTGTGCGCTAATACGTTTGCTTCCCACCATGGAGACACTAATCCATCTCCTCTGGTGCAGGCCAGATGCACTGCACTGACCTTGGCATCAGTGTTAATACCACTCCTCGGGATGTGCACCAGCTAGGAAAGGGCGTCAGAATTGTATTCCTTTCCGCTAGTTGCAAAGTGGGCGTAAAGGCTGGTAAATTAACAAGGGCAGTCAATTGACTAGGGGTCCTCACGTACAAGAAGTGCCAGGTGCTTTTGGCAGGATTATGCTCCCAAAAGGGATAGAGAATAAGATGGCGAATATCTTATTGCCCTTATATAAGTCCATAGTATGCCCACATCTTGAATACTGTGCACAGATGTGGTCTCCTCATCTCAAAAAAGATATACGGGCATTTAGAAAAGGTTCAGAGAAGGGCAACTAAAATGATGAGGGGTTTGGAATGGTCCCATATGAGGAGAGATTAAAGAGACCGAGACTTTTCAGCTTGAAAAAGAGGAGACTAAGGGGGGATAGGATAGAGGTCTATACAATCATGAGTGGTGTGGAGAAAGTGAATAAGGAAAAGTTATTTACTTGTTCCCATTATATATGAACTAGGGGCCGCCAAATGAAATTAATGAGCAGCAGGTTTAAAACAAATAACTTCCTTTTAGAAGAACTAAAAGGAAGTTTTTCTTCACACAGAGCACAGTCAACCTGTGGAACTCCTTGCCTGAGGAGGTTGTGAAGGCTAGGACTATAACAGGGTTTAAAAGAGAATCTCCATGAATGTATCTAGTTAAGTCCATAAATGGCTATTCACCAGTATGGGTAAGGAAGGGTGTCCCTAGCCTCTGTTTGTCAGAGGGTGGAGCTGGATGACAGGAGATAGATCGCGTGATCAGTACTTGTCCCAGAGGGAGTGAATCGAACACCTGGCATTAGCCACTGT